CGGGGGTGTGAAGCGGGTGGCATCGGCGCGGCTGCCCCCAGCACAGCCTGTCTGCAGTGGCCGGAAAGAGAATCCGGGGAGACGTGTAGGGTGTGTGTACACACGCGCGTGCAGGGGTCAGCACAGGTGTGAAACACACTGGCTGCCAAGGACACAGCTCAGCGCTAGACCTCCAGTCCACCAGCTCCGTTTCCGTCTCTCCCCCGCCGGTGTGGACCTCACCGCACGTCTCCACCTCCCTGCTCCCCAGGGTGCTGCCAGTAAGAAGGCGAACTCTCAGCTGTCTCCAGGAGAACCGTGCAAAGACGGACGTAGCATTTATTCCATTCACTTTTACACCACACATGTGACTCTGATAACAATAATCATACATTTTATGAGATTATATTTTAAAGAGTGAAAAACCCAAGTGACACCTCAAACGCCAGCTCCTTTCGCCTGCAGCTGGGTTGCCCGTCATTCCTTCCTCTGAAGGGTGTGGTGCTAAGAAGACGATGCTCTGCCCCGCTCCATGTGTTTCCCAGCAGAAGCGCTTGCTTCCCTTAGGCTGCCAGGGAGCTCAGGCTGAGCCAGGATTCCATCATGAGACCCTCAGCCTATACTGGCCCTTCCTACTCCCAATACAGCTCCATTTACCCTAAGGAGGGCACCACCGAGGCCCCTCTTGGGAGGCTGAGGGTGAGTGGAGAGGGGCTTGGGCATTTCTTCCCAGAGACCTCTTGCCTCCGAGGCCCCAGGCAGGTCCCCTGTGCTCACCGGCAGTGTGACTCCCTCCAGTCTACTACTCAGGTCCCAGGAGTGGTGGTGAGGCCGCCAGGTGAGCACAGGAGACCTCGGAAGTGTAAAGAGCAACAGAGATGGAGCCAAAGCATCACCCGGGACACACACCACCCACACCCACCCACCCACACACACCCCGTCCCCGCCCCACGGCACAGCCGACCCGGCCTGCGTACCCTCGGGTCCTGGGGCTCCCACACCCACATCTATGTGGAGCTGGACGCACTCACTGTTTAGAGCAGTGATGGGTGGGTTTCTAGCTGAGACCCAGACAGACAGACACAGACAGACGCTCTTTCTGAAGCCTTGCTCTGGACATTTTGTGGCCTGAGTGTCACCTCTCAAGTGGCTTCGGGGCTCCGGGGAGCAGGGTGGTGTGGCTGCTGTGAACGTGACAGTCACCCTGGGCGGAGCGCTGGGCGAGGATCAGAGGCTTCTCGGAGGGAGCCCGAACCAGCTCCCGTCCAGGCACCAGCGCCCAGCGCCCC